CAGTGCCCAGCCAAAAATAGTTGCATTTCTATACACTAGAAATGAACAGTCCAAAAAGGCAATTGTTTAAATTCCACAAAAATAATAAAATACTAAGAAATAAATTTAACCAAGGAGGTGTAAACCTTATACCCTGAAAACTGCAACACACTTTTGAAATAAAGAGAATTTACGTATATGAAAAAACAGCCTGTGTTCATTGTTCATGAATTGGAAGACAATACCATGAAGATGGCAGTATTCCCCTAACAAATCTAGAGATTCAATGCAATGTCTATCAAAATCCCAATGATGGCCTTTTTTTTTAGAAATGGAAAAACCAAATCCTAAAATTCCTATGGAATTGCATGGAGCCCTGAATAGCCAAAGCAATGTTGAAAAGAACAAAGTTGAAGGACTTACACTTTCCCATTTCAAAACTTACTACAAAGCTACAGTAAATAAAATAGTGTCAGGCTGGGCCCAGTGGTTCATGCCTGTAATCCCAAAACTCTGGAAGGCTGAGGTGGGAGGATAGCTTAAAGCTTGAGCCCAGGAGTTTGAGACCAGCCTGGGCAAAATAGCGAGCCCTTGTTTCTACCAAAAAAAAAAAAAAAATTTTTTTTTGAGATGGAATTTCGCTCTTGTTACCTAGGCTGGAGTGCAATGGCGCAATCTCGGCTCACTGCAACCTCTGCCTCCTGGGTTCAGGCAATTCTCCTGCCTCAGCCTCCTGAGTAGCTGGGATTACAGGCACGCGCCACCATGCCCAGCTAATTTTTTGTATTTTTAGTAGAGATGGGGTTTCACCACGTTGACCAGGTTGGTCTTGATCTCTTGACCTCATGATCCACCCGCCTCGGCCTCCCAAAGTGCTGGGATTACAGGCTTGAGCCATCGCACCCGGTCTAAAAAAAAGAATTTTTAAAAATTAGCTAGGTGTGGTGGTGCACCTGTAGTCCCAGCTACTTGGAAGGCTGAGGCAGGAGGATCACTTGAGCCTGAGAGGTCAAGGCTACAGTGAGCCTTGATTGCATCACTGCGGTCCAGCCTAGGTGACAGAGGGAGACCCTGTCTATAAAACAAAATTAAATTAAATTAATACAGTGTGGCATTGCCATAAGGGTAGCCTTTGACAAGGACTAACATGTTTTCATGATTAAAAATAGTCAATAACATAAAAATAAAAGGGAAGTTTCACAATATGATAAAGGTTATATAAATCAATGCAATATAATTGAGAGTCTTGACATAAATTCATACATATGTGGCCAACTGATTTTTCACAAGGGAGCCAGGACCAGTCAATTGGAAAGAATAATCTCTTCAGCCAATGGTGCTGGGAGAAATGGATAGAAGGAAGTTGGACCATTACTCCATACTAATACAAAAAATTAACTCAAAATGGATCAATGTCCTAAATGTAAGAGATCAAGCTATAACACTATTAGAAGAAAACCTAGAGGTGAATCTTCCTGACCGTGGATTTTGCAGTGGTTGCTTAGAAAAACAGATAAACTGGGCTTCATAAAAATTTTAAACTTTGGTCTATCAAAGGACTCTATCAAGAAAGTGAAAAGATAGTCAGGCGTGGTGGCAGGCACCTGGAAAGAAGAGAAAGAGAGAAAGAGAGAGAGAAGAGGAAAAAGAAAGAAAGAAAAGGGAGAAGATAACCTATAAAACAGAAGAAAATGTTTGCAAATCACATATCTGATAAGGGTCTAGTATACAGAATATATAAAGAACTCATAACAAGAAAAACACAAATAACCCAATTTAAAAATGGGTGAAGGATTTGAATAGATGTTTCTCCAAAGAAGATCTAGCGATGGCCAACAAGCACATGAATAGATGTTCAATATAATTGGTCATTAGAGAAATGCAAATCAAATAAAAATGAGATGTCACTTCATAACCACTGGGTTGCCCATAATAGAAAATATGGAAAATAACAAATGTTGGTAATTGTGGAGAAGTTGGAACCATTGTACATTGCTGGAGGAAATACAAAATGGTGCAGTGCTGTAGAAAGCAGCATGGTAGTTCTTCAAAAGCTAACCACAGACTTACCATATCCATATGGCCCAGCCATTCCACTCCTAGGTAAATACCCAAAAGAATTGAAAAGAAGTATTCAAGCAAATACTTGTACATGAATGTTCATAGCAGTATTCTTAATAGCCAAATGATGGGACTAGATGTTTCCACAACATTGTGAATGTACTAGAAGTCACTAAATTGTACATTATAAAATGGTTAATGGTTAATTTTATATTATGTGGACTTTATCTCAATAAAGACAAACATACAAACAACTTTTTTTTTTTTTTTTTTTTTTTGAGACGGAGTTTCGCTCTTGTTACCCAGGCTGGAGTGCAATGGTGCGATCTCGGCTCACCGCAACCTCCGCCTCCTGGGTTCAGGCAATTCTCCTGCCTCAGCCTCCTGAGTAGCTGGGATTACAGGCATGCACCACCATGCCCAGCTATTTTTTTTGTATTTTTAGTAGAGACGGGGTTTCACCATGTTGACCAAGATGGTCTTGATCTCTTGACCTCGTGATCCACCCGCGTCGGCCTCCCAAAGTGAGGCCACTCGTGAGCCACCGCGCCTGGCTGCACAAACAACTTTTAAACTGTTACCATATGACCCAGCAATACCACTTTTGGTATATGTCTGAGATAACTGAAAACACATGTCTAAATAAAAACTTACATGTGAATGTTCATAGCAACATAATTTACATATACCAAAAGTGTAGCTAGGTTTAGTGGTTCATGCCTGTAATCCCAGTGCCTGGGAATCTGAGATGGGAGAATCGCTTGAGGCCAGAAGTTTGAGAACAACCTCAGCAACAAAGTGAGACCACATCTCTAATAAAGAGAGAAAGAAAGAAAAGAAAAGATAGCCAGGCATGGTGGCTTATGCATGTAATCCCAGCACTTTGGGAGACTGAGGTGGGTAGATCACCTGAGGTCAGGAGTTTGAGACCAGCCTGGCCAATATGGTGAAATGCTGTCTCTACTAAAAATACAAAAATTAGCTCCTATAAACTCAGCTACTTGGGAGGCTGGGGCAGGAGAATCACTTGAACCCAGGAGGCGGAGGTTGCAGCCTGAGTGACAGAACGAGACTGTCTCAAAAAGAAAGAAAGAAAGAAAGAAAAAGAAAAAATACATATAATAGACAAAAGTAGGAAACAACCCAAATGCCTATCAATGGATGAATGGATAAACAAAATGTGGTATAGCCATACAATGGAATATTATTGGTCAATAAAAAATAATAAAGTTCTGATTCACCCAAGTGGATAAACCTAAACATTATGCTAAGTGAAAGAAGCCAGAGAGAAAGACCACATATTGTATGCCTTCATTTACACGAAAAGCCCGGAGTAGCAAATTACAGACAGAAAATAGATTAGTGATTGCCTTGGGCCGGGAGTTGGGGGCAGGATGAGGAATGCCTGCAAATGGGAGCAGGTTTCCTTTCTGCAGTGATGAAATGTTCTAAAATTAGAAAGTGATCGATGCACAATCTGTGAATATACTAAAAACCACTGAACTGTACATTTCAAAAGAGTGAACTTTAGGGTGTATAAATTATATGTTAATAAAGCCGTTATTTGGCCAGGCGCGGTGGCTCACGCCTGTAATCCCAGCACTTTGGGAGGCCGAGGCGGGTAGATCACGAGGTCAAGAGATCGAGACCATCCGGGTCAACATGGTGAAACCCCGTCTCTACTAAAAATACAAAAAATCAGCTGAGCATGGTGGCGCATGCCTGTAATCCCAGCTACTCAGGAGGCTGAGGCAGGAGAATTGCCTGAACCCAGGAGGCAGAGGTTGCGGTGAGCCGAGATCGCGCCATTGCACTCCAGCCTGGGTAACGAGAGCGAAACTCTGTCACACACACACACACACACACACACACACACACACACACACAAATAAATAAATAAAGCTGTTATTTTTTTAAAAAAGAAACATACATGATAAAAGAAAGAAAAGACTTTAGAATAGTTTGGAATTTGGGGTACATTTTCCTATTCTTTTCTGTTTTACTGTAATTTGTTTTCAGGCACTTCTGAACTTGGCAACATTTCCATGATATTACCAAATTCGTGAGCTGGTTTGAAATAACTATTTCCTGTTATTACTTCATGTTTTCATAACTTTTGAGCAAAGGATGTAATGTGGGACATGAAGATACGATTTTTTGGGAATTTCCCAGTCTTGGCTTTGAACATTTAGGTTCTTTCCAAGTTTTCAGTCTGATAGATCAGAAGAGATATAAGTAGCTGAAAAGGAATTAGTAATGTAAAAATTAAAAAGTGGTAGAAAACAAAAAATCTGAAAAATGCTTGAAGACGTTATTTGCAAAACTGATCCTAGTGCATTTATCAACGTATGTAAAAAAAAAAAAAAAAGCAATGCCTGGAGATAGTTATTTCTTTATTTATTTGAGACTCACTCTGTCGCCCAGGCTGTGGTGCTCATTGCATCCTTAACCTCCTGGGCTCAAGCAGTCCTCCCACCTCAGCCTCCTGAGTAGCTGTGGCTACAGATGTGTGCCACCATGCCTGGCTAATTTTTTTGGTATTTTTTGTAGAGATGGGATTTTGGCAGGTTGGCCAGGCTAGGAAATATTTATTTTTATTTATCGGTTTCACTTCTCTGTTTTGACCACATCATCTGCCAACAATGGGGCTTAACTTGTGTTCTGGGATGCTCTTATTATGGGGTTGAGGACGGGAGAGGCTTTGATGCTACTCTGGGCCTTTACGTCTATAATTCAGCTCCCCACCTCACTCCTCAATGCAGTCAGAAGGTCCCCTCAGACTTACGGGGCTTCTGGGAGCTGCAGGATCCATAGGATCCTGGGTTCTGGGACCCTCAGGAGGGTCAGGCCCTCGGCAGGACACAGTGAGAGTGAGCAGACAGCAGGCCCTGTGGAGGAGAGGGTGGACTCAGGCCAAATGCCTAGTGGGGATGGGGTGACAAATACTCTCCTGTCCTCACCTGCCTTCACCTGCTGTGGCCTGCAAGTACAGCTCTGAGGCAGCTCTTAAGTCAGACACCTCCACTTCAGTGGCATCTTCTACCACCCTAGAGGACGGGGAGGCTGAGCTCAGCTCCCAAGTAACAGGGTTCTGCCCAGCCCCCCTGAACCTCTACATGGGGAGCCCATGGAGGTCCCCATAGCCTGTAAGAATCAACCAAAGGCTCCAGGTTCAGTCTACTTCTCTAAACGTTTCTCATCCTCATGATTTTATTTTCCTTCCTGCGAATAGGGTAGTTGGGGTCACTCCCATTTTACAGATGGAGAAACTGAAGTCCTGCTCAGCGAGATGCTCAAAATCACCCGGATGTGACAATGACAGAGTCAGGACATGGGGCTGGGAATGGAATTGAGGTGGTGTGAGTTGAAGAGGTGTTAAGTGGGGTGAAGGAAGTAGGAGGGATGGGCACATGGGATGAAGGAAGAGGGTCAGGGGTGATCCTGAGAGCAGCCCCTGACCCTGTAAGCATGACCCCAAGCTCAGAGCTTCCTTCCCCTGAGGTGGCAGTTGGTGGACACCCCCAAAGGCTCAGCTTGGGGGAGGCAGCCCTGCCTTAAGACAAGCACCCTCAGACTCCACTGCGCCCTGAACACTCACAAGCCCAGAGGGGCCACAACCAGCACTGACAGGTTCTCCACCCCTGGAGAGAGCAGGTCCCGGGTTCTTCCTCTAGGGCTGAACTGGGGGTCACACAAGCACACATGTTATAAACTGAGCCTTTACCTACCTTCAGCTCACATGATCCTCCTGGGAGCCAAACAGGGCACCAAGAATTCAGCCTTTTTGCAGTCAGAGGAGAGGAGACCTCAGAGAGGTACACCCATGCTGGTGAGCAGCAGAGTGAGGCTGGACGCATGCTTTCTGGCTCCCCACAGACCTCGGGCTCCTTCTGCAGCATCACCCTGGCCCTGGTTCCCAGATCCCACTCTCTCCCCTCCTGCAAGGGTCTCACCTGCACCAGGCTAAGAGTGCTAAGCACAGGATCAGAACAGCTTTGGGGCAGAGCTTCCTCAAACAGCATCTGCAGCAGCTAAAGTGGAGAAGCGTTCAACGTGGATTAAGAAAGCATAAAGCTGTCCTTCAACATTTCCTGAGAGTGAAGTCCGTGTCATGCCCTATACTGGGGACATGGCATCCAGGGTAGAAATAGCACCAGTCTTTATGTTCACAGCAAGCCGGAAAGTGAGCAGACATTCTCAGTGGGACCTGCTGTTTGCTGCACAGAGATTCACGACATGTTCTGAGGCGGCTATTTTGATTTGGGGGCATTCTGATGATGTCCCCACAATAAAACTTCCAAGCTTACCATTAGTATTACCAGGAACTATGAAAATCAGATCTCCTTGGATATTTGATCTTTTCATGCCACCCCTCTCTAACCCTCAACCTATTAGCACCAGCTTCTCACCTTCCTTTATTTTTTAATTAAAAAATTTTTTCCTTGGAAGGATATCAGTAACAAGGAAAAAAATTTTTTTTTATTTTGGTTTTTTTTTTTTGAGGCAGAGTTTTGCTCTCGTCACCCAGGCTGCAGTGCAGTGCCATGATCTCGGCTCACTGCAACCTCTGCCTCCTGGATTCAAGCAATTCTTCTGTCTCAGCCTCCCAAGAAGCTGGGATTACAGTTGCCCACCACCACACCCAGCTAATTTTTTAAATTTTTAGTAGATATGGGTTTTTGCCATGTTGGCCAGGCTGGTCTCAAACTCCTGACCTCAGGTGATCCACCCATCTTGGCCTCCCAAAGATCTGGGATTACTCTGACTTCCCAATAGCTGCGTAAATTGACCCTGGCAAAACATCCTGCCTTGATCAACAGGGTGCTTGCTGTAGGAGCCCTACTGAGAGCTGATGTGGAGAAGGAAGATTCTCAGAAGTCTCTGGGAGAGGTAATCCCTGTGCCGCATGCGGCCTGTGCCCTGGTGACTCCTCTGGGACTCACCTGAGGCACGAGTCGAGGTGCCTCTGTTTCCCTGCCTCGGAGCAACAGGGCCACACTGTATCCTCGGCCCACAGAGCCCAGTGTGGATTGGACACGTGCCAGCAGCTCCTGCTCTGCCTCCTGCAGGGAAATACAGGCACATTCCACTGACTCAGGTGCCCTGAGCAAAGGAGCTCAGGAGGCAGCCAGTACCCCAGGACCCAGGGGCCTGAGGGCTCTCACCCTCCTCTCATCACCCTCCCAGACCTTCCTACCTGAGCAGCATTAGGGCCCAGGACTCTGTCAAAGGTGAAGCTTTGTTCCTGTGGGCAGGGCCGGGGTCAACTGTGATAGTCCCATCTTCCCCTGCACCCTCCGCCCCACCCCTTCACCCCCACCCCCCGTCCCCTGACACACACTGCCCATCCACCTGAGTCTCCAGAGTCCCAAGCTGAAGCAAACGGATATTTGTGGGCTCCACCAGGAGTGTGGGGCTACAGGTATCCACAGGGCCTGAGAAAGGAGGACTTCATATCAGCTGTCATAAGGAAAACTGGCTCCAGGATTCCTGAGTCCTGCCCTCAACCTTTGCCTCAGTTTCCCAACCCAAGCTGGCCCAGCCCTCCCCTCTTCCAAGAGGCTCTCCTGGGCTTCACTCCCTCAGAGTACAAACGTGGAGAGCTTCTTACCTGATCCCTTCCCCGACTCCACTTCTACCATTACGGTCAGCATGGCATGTGGGTTGCGAGAGACCATGAGGGCCGATCAAGGAGGCTGAGCTGCCTGGCTCAAACCAGACCCTGCGGTCACCACCTCTCCACAGTCCACGGCCTCTCAGCCTCTCAGCTTCCCCTCAATAATTCATGAATCCCATCTGAGGGTTGGGGAAGGGTGGCTCTGGACCTGGTAACCTATTAAGGGAAGTGACATTCCCTTCTCTTATGAGAGAACATTGCATAGGGTTCTTTCATCTTTTTCCTTTTATGAAAATGTTCAAACATGTATAACACTGGAGAGAATAGTATCATCAACCTCCAGGTACCCAGCTTCAGCAATTACCAAATTCTGGCCAGTCTGATTTATTTTGTTCTTCTCCCATTCCCAGCAGATTATTTTGAAGCAAACCTCAGACATCCTAGTATTTCATCTATTACTAGTTCAGTATACCACAGTTAATTTTAGAAGGGTTTCATCACATCATAAGGAAATTTGGTTCCCTTTAGCTATTAGCTCCCTAACCCAAACCCACTGCACCCTGCAACCCTAAGCAATCACTCATTTATTTTCTGCCTTTACAGATTTGCCAATTCTAGACATTTCATATAAATAGAACCATATACTGAGTGGCCTTCTGTGTCTGTTTTTTTCCACTTAACATAATGTTTTCAGTTGTAGTATGTCTCAGTACTTTTTCCCTTTCTGTGGTGGATAATGTTCCACAATAGAGCTCTGTCACCAACTGCCTGGAGTTTGGCCAAGTTTCACCACAAAGGGCATCGTCCTCCATGAGACTGCACTCCTCCATGAGAGCAGTCTCAAGTTAAGGGGTCCCCAGGCCTTCCTCACTCCAGCTGTCTGCAGGTTTTGGTGTCCCCACTACTCCTTCAGGCTTGACAATTCACTGGAACAGCTTGCAGAACTCAAGTAAGTGCTACACTTACTGTGTCTGACACTAATTCTCTGACACCAGCTGAGTGTTTTATGATTCAATTCAACTCTGACACTAACTACGTGGAGTTAGGGTCAGGTCCCATGAATTAAAACAAAACATCCCCAACAAGACTGCCCTTAATTCAAATGGCAGCCGCAAGTGGTATCATCAGGTTATTCACAAGTTCGTCTGACTTGGCTACAAATTCAGGGGTTTCCCATGACCCCACCCCAGATTGAGTAATTCACTTGAAAGACATAGAACTCAGAAAAGTGCTTACTTACTATTACCTTTTTATTATAAAGGATACAAATGAATAGTCATATTGCTGTATTTAAGTGAGTTATAGAAGAAACGCCATGCTCTGAGTTTTAAATTGAGAGTCCTTTATTGCCGGGGCCGAGAGACGGCTAATGCTTAAAATTCTTTCGGCCCAGAGGAAGGGGCTTATCTTTTAGACCTCGATTTAGGTAGGGGAGGGGGAGCCTAGCTGAAGCGGAAGTTTACAGAAGCAGAACAAGCAAGTTAGAACCAGGGGATAGCAGGTACTCAGGATTGTTGGTTGCTAAGGGTATTTTTATACAATTATCAAGAGGGGTAGCAGGGAGATCTTTTCATACAATCAATCACCAAGGAAGGTATTCACAATAGCAGGCAGACTTGCCAAGTAGGATGCGGTTACAGTGGTTACAGGTACTGTGAACAGTGTGAACCACTCTTAACAGTTTAAAGATTTGAGTGCAGAGTGACCCAGTAATGCACCTGAGGGGGCTGAGGCAGGGAGGGGGAAGCCAAGCTGGAGCCTACCGCCAAGATGGAGTCAGTTAGGATAACACAGGCTAGGTTATTACACTCCCCACTTGTGTTTTTGGAGAGTCCAAGTATTGACTCTTCAGTTACAACAAGGAGGTTACATTGGCTTTTGAGATCCACAAGTTTGACAGAATTTACACGCTGTCTTATGAAAGCAAGGAGCCAGTTTAGTATACAGGGCCCAAAGATTAAGCCTAACAGGAGGAGAAGAGGTTTTGCTAGCCCAGTTATTAAAGTAGTTAGTTACGGGCTTCAGTTAAACATGCTTTGGTACCATGGGTTTTTTTCCCGCCCCCGCCCCCGCCCCCGCCGCTTTTGCTGGCGTTTATTTAAACTCTTTTGAACCTGTGAAGGCTGTCCTTTATGACTCCAGACTGGTTAGCATAAAAACAACAGCTTTCCCCCAACGCTGTCCAAGGTGGTTCTGGAGAGCAACTTTAATTAGGGATTTTACCTGGATATGTGTAAGGCCGGTTGCCTCGTCGGGAGGTTGGACAGGCCCACCTCTGCACCCGGCGCCAGGCTCTGCCGAAGGGCTCCCCTGGAAGGCTCCAGCTGATGCAGGGCTCCTGGCCGGTTCTCCCACCGGAAAACCCGCCCCGTCTCAATCCCGCTCCCCTGGAGTCAATCAGAGAACCCAGGTGTTGTTGGTTCCTCCTACCTATAAAAACCCTACGCCCCAGGAAGTTGGCGTGACTTCCCTGGCCCCTTTCGAAGCTTAACGAAGCTGCTACCGTTTGTAAATATGGTGGCATCTGCTTTCTCCAGGGGAACATCCTGGAGATTAGGTTGGCCAGTTTTCGTAGTCTTTAACAGCTCTTGGCAGTCATGGACAGGTATGAGTTAAATTTGGATTGGGGAGTAGAGTGGCTGGATTTAAACACCATGTGAGGGAGAAAGTCAGGTGGGGCTGATCCAACAGCAGACTCTCGTATGGTAATATACGAGCATTTGACATTTATTTACCAGAGGCACTGTGCAGCAATATCTTAACGGCATGAGGAGCCAGGAGGGTTAAGTTTTGGCCCAGGGTTAGTTTATTAGCCTTCGGGACCGGACTTGCAGTTGCCGCCACGGCTCATAGACAACTTGGAATGCTTGTGTTTAACTTTAACTTAATGTAGCCACTAAGACTTTTTTGCCTGCCTTTTTGAAGCCTTTTTAGCTGCCTTTTCCGCTGCCAGAGCAGCCTGTTTCTGTTTCTTACGGTTTCAATTGTTAAAAACCTTCTGAGCTATTTCTAGGAGCTGGATGATATTTATCCCAGCAAATCCCTCAAGTTTTTGTAATTTTTTTTTTGAATGTCAGGTGCTGCCTGAGCTACAAATGCCAAATTAATAGCACAGCTATTTTTGGGAGCTGCTGGATTAAACGGGGCATAAATTCAATAGGCCTCCTGGAGGCATTTCAAAAACACTCCAGGTGGCTTATTGGGCCCCTGGACAACTTCAGTTGTCTTAGACAGATTCATGGGTTTTCAAGCGGCTCCTTTAATACCCGCAAGAAGATACCGGTGGAAATTGTTCAAAGCTCTGCTCCCCGCCACTTCCCGCCCCCAAGGTATTTGGGTCCCAGTCAGGCTGAGTAGAAGGAAAAAACTTCCTCTAGGAGGCCTCAGGCTCCCTCCTCTGGCATACTGGCTGAACTAAGGAAAAAACTTTCTGGCCTCCCTTCAAATATGGTCCCTTTTCTTAGATGTAAGAAGGGTTAGGAGAAGCTGTTGACAATTATCCCAGGTGGGCTGGTGAGTCTGGCGTATGGACTCAACCAGTGAGGTTAGGACCTGAGGTTTCTCAGAGAAAGGTGGGTTTTTGAGCCTTCCAGTTGTACAGGTTAGTAGAAAAAGGGACATGGACCAAAAACAGGGCAAAATGATCGCTGCCTGGAGGGGGTGGTGCCTCCCTTAAGGGGAGGAGTGGGGCAGCCTCCTCCAGCCCAGGCTGCAGTTGGGAGGCGGGGTTTCTCCGTGTTAACCAGGTTGGTCTTGAACTCCTGGACCTCAGGAGATCTGGCCGCCTTGGCTTCTCAAAGTGCTGGGATTAGAGGTGTGAGCCACTGTGCCTGGCAGTAGCTGTCAGATTCTATCACCACCTGGAGAGTGTCCTATGAACAGCAAAGAGCTTCTTGGTTTACAATGGCAGTTCCAAGGTGAATGTGCAGCAACTTGTTTGGAAGGCTATAGCTTGGACTGGCCAGAATATCACCTTGGCTTGTCTCTTATTGTCATTTTAGCTGTTACAGATAACAATAACCAAGGGATTGTATACTTAGTTTTCTTCTTGTTAGTTTATAGTTCCTTATGCATCCAGGAGTTGAATCAATCATTTCTAAATTCCACTGGTAACTTTTACCTCCCGTAACTGAGGACAGCACAGCTGCTATTCCATATAGCACTTGTAATACCAGCACTTTGGGAGGGTGAGGCGGCTGGATCACTTGAGGTCAGGAGTTCAAGACCAGCCTGGCCATCATGGTGAAATCCTGTCTCTACTAAAAACACAAAAATTAACTGGGCATGGTGGCAGGCACCTGTAATCCCAGCTACTCTGGAGGCTGAGGCAGGAGAGTTGCTTGCACCCAGGGGGCAACGGTTGTAGTGAGCTGAGATCACGTCATTGCACTCCAGCCTGGGCAACAGAGCAAGACTTTGTCTCAAAAAAAGAAAAGAAAACGATATTAAGTAAAAAGGGGCAAGATTATATTGCACAAGAATAGTTAATATCTGTTATTTTAAATTTTTATAAGTGATGAGAATTCATCAGGGTGGCTAACCCTGTAGCCACCCACCTGTAGCCACCCACCTGTAGCCATCCACCCAGGAAATCATAGGTTATTTATTCTACGCCCCCCAGTCTTTTTCCCCACAAAGTACATATTTCAGTGAGTACAGACTGGTTTGGCCAATTGTAGTTCTCCTCACACCAACTCCAATGGCTTCAGACACTGACAAACTGGAGTTGGGTTGGACCAAGCTTTGCAGGATAAGGACACAATTCTCCGCAAGACAGCCCTCATTACAGACACCAGCCACAAGCTTGGGGGTTCCCAGGCTACTCTCATTTCTGACCAGCAGATATAAATTCGGAGGTTCTCACTGCCCACCGCAAGTCAACAATTCACTAGAACAACTCACAGAACTCAGGAATGTTCTGTACTTACAATTACAATTTTATTATAGGAAAGGATACAAATCTGAAAAAGCCAAAGAGATAAAACCTGCTAGGAACCAGGGACAGTGGCTGGCCAAATTCTTGTTACACACGAATGAACATACATTTTGTTCATTCATTCC